CACACACACACACACACACACACACACACACACACACACACACACACACACACACACACACACACACACACACACACACACACACACACACACACCTCCCAGGCTATTACTGTTTGACAGTGTCAAGAGAGACAGCAGATTTGAGTCTTAGAGTCAGTTGGATTGACAGTTGAGCTGGAAATAGATGTGAAGAAGCACCTGGGAGATGGAGGGATGGAGGGGAATCTTGATATCAAAGTGGAGCAGATAACTTCATATCCATTTTTTTTACAGCACAAACATCTGTGTCACATTCAAGTGCTTATCCCTACTGTAAAAAAGCTGCAGATAATAAAAACCAATCAATACTTTAAATCTTTCTATCCTTCTTGTACATTATACCGTATACACTGTATTGTTTTACATATTCAAAGCATCTGGTCTCCGTCCAATCATCTGTCCAAGAGTGAGGAACAGCACTGTTCGCTCAAACCTTTCCAAATATTTTTTTTCCACCAATGCAGCTGCATCTATTTTCCAACTGCATATAAAACTGTTTTTTTGCTTGTGTTGTGTTTAAACAGGAGGCAGTGATCCTTTCTCTCTAACCTGTGGTCTGCAAATGTTTGCATGAGAAGTGAGGCTGAGTAGAAGACCAGTGGTTAGCGAAGCTCGTGGGATTTCAGGATCTCATTCAGGGACACTTTGGCAGTGTGAATGCTTGCCACAACATCTGTTTAAACTCAGATCCTTCATGTGAAAGGCAATTACTACATCATCCTTTGACTCAGCTCCACAGCTAGCCATCTGCTGCAACTCTGACAAACCCGTATATGTGACTATATACTGCCTCTTTCCCTCTCCCTTTCCTCCCTCATCATCCTTTCTCCTCTCTCTCACTGAGTTCTTGAGTTCCCCCTGCAGTCTGTCCAGGTCTTGTCTTAGTAAACAGATCAGTGTGAATAGGATCTGATTGTGCAGGGAATACATCCATCATGCCTTTCTTTCTGTATCACAGGTCAACAGCTCGGAGAACATGAAAACCTGTCCTGAGGTGGATCTATTTTTGTGCATAGGGGTGTAGCTGTGTTGCATCTATATCAGGTTAAAGGCCCGTCTTCGAGGGTTCAAACAACACCCAGTCTCTCTCTTCGGAGATGCATAAACAAGAGGCATCTTCTGTCTCCTGTGAGTGTGCTCGCACCCGCAGCTGGTGTGCACTCTGAGTGAGTGAACAAACACTCAGCGTGACAAGAGAACTGACACATCGAGCTGCAGCCATCAGATGTCCAACCCCCCTCTTGCTCTTATTACCTTCTCATTTCTTGCTGTCTCGCGCTGTCAAAGACCAAAGGAAAAAAAAAAGGTCGTCTTTTCCTGGCTTGTTCCGAGAGGCCACTGAACGTTACCTGATTAGTTTGGTCAGTGTTTTAAACTCTTGTTTGCCTTTCTTACCCTGCATGTCTCTCATTTCTTGTATACGTCCTTCTCAGCTCTTTCTCACTGAGCTAAACCCAGCTGAGAGCTTAATTGGAATTACTGAACACGTACAATGCCTAATACATAATGCATGGCCCCAGCCTTCTTTTATCATTTAAATCATAAAGCTTCTTTGGAATGCCAGACAACACACAACTATCTCCTTTCCTCTTCTTCTTCTCCAGGCTCTGTTTCCTATCCCTCCATCCAAGCTGTCCCCAGGCTTTAGCGGTGCACCAAACTGAGTGTGCGCACACACAAATGACACCAAACAGTTCTTGCTTGCAGCACAACATGATTGAAAGTGACAGAAGAAGAGGCTTTAAAGCCAAAAAAATAAAAATAAAAGTGGGCTCTGACGCATACGAGGAGACAAACACACACACACACACACACACACACACACACACACACACACACG